GCTGTTTTTACTACTGGTATAACCTTGAATAAATCATTTAACTTTCATAGACTTTAGTTTCCTCATCTGTAAAATGAAGGGATTGTACTGACTTCTGAGTTCCCTTCCAGTTTTCAATGTATGACTCTATAATCTTCCTATTTTGTTCCTGTGGTATCTAGCTTGGCAGATACCACAAACTACCTATCGGCAGATAGGTAGTTTTATCCTTCCTTCTCTGATTTACATTTAATGCTCACTAGAACAGATTTGGTAAATCCCAGTCTCTTTTGAGGTATATTTTATGGCCAAGAGTCTGCCATTTCTGTAATTTAAGCCATGGTCCATCCAAAACTCCAAATTCCATTCTCAGGCCATGTTTCATAACCAATAATTCAGTTCTCAAAACTGAAATTCTCTTCTGAACCCCTTGCTTTTTGGATTTTAATGAGTTTTTATTAGTATATTTTATTTTGTATGTACAATTCCTAGATATTTCATCCTATGTCTCTTCCCTTATTACCTCTCAGAAAGACATCCCATATAACCAATATTTCTTTTAAAAAGAAACAAGAGCAAGATAAATAAAACATTTGTCCCAATTGATCAGTTCATCAAAAAAGTATGAAATTGTAAGCAATATTACACATCTATGTAACACTTACCTCTTTAAACTTGTTCTTTGAAACTTTGAAACTTTTTGACTCAAACCCATTAATTTTAACTGTTTTGTGGTTTTTATTCTTTCCATTGTTGTACATAATCATTGTATATATTGTTTTTCCGGCTCTGCTTATTTTACTTTGCATCAGTTCATATAAGTCTTTATATGCTTCTCTGTATTTATCCTGCTAGGTCCTCACTTTTTTTTTTTCATTTTTTGGAGGCATTCAGGGTTAAATGATTTGTCCAGGGTCACATAGCTAGTAAGTGTCTAAGGCTGGATTTGAACTCAGGGCCTCCTGAGTTCAGGGCTGGTGCTCTATCCACTGCACCATCTAGCTGTACCTACGTGTTTACTTTCAATCAATATCAGTTACTTAAAAAACAAAATATATACCACTTGTGCCTCTAATATGTTCATTTTTGGGGGGGATTGGTTAAATTGGAGCCAGATTGTAGTGACCCTTAAATGCCAAAGGGGTTTGTAATGGGCAATGGGAAACTAATGAAAAGTTTTGATCATTTTAGGGACATGGTAAGACAGACATAGGCAGATGAATTATCAAGCAATTTCAGTCACACCCAAGTGTGAACCCCTTACGTACTGGAGTAGGTGATGACAGCAAGAACAGAAAGGAGTAGATAGATGAAAGGCACAAAGGAGAACTTGATCATTGCTATGGTTGGTATCAGAGAAAGAAGAGTCAGAGGTAATAATTCTGGAATTTGAGTCTAGAAGAGATAATATATGAAAAATAATATTACTTTTGACATAAATAGGGGAGTAAGGAGAAGGAATTAGTCTTGATCTAAAGAATACATATTCAGTTTTATATATTTTGAGTTTCAGATTACAACAGGTTGCCCAAATAGAAACAACTTTGTACCTACAAGAATACACACACCCCAACACACACAAATCAGTCGAAAGGTAAACTCAGAGGGATGCCCCTAGCATTTTAGTTGGGAAAAAATATCACTAAGATGATTCAAATGAGATAACATATGTAAAGTGCTCTGTAAAATGTAGCTGTATAAATGCCAACTAGTATTATTATTAATTAGAATGGTGACTTTCTTGTAAAGTGATACATGATTATCATCCCATCTGCTACCAAAGTTGAGACTGGTGGATTACTTCATTGTGCAGATAGTGACACAATTAGACCCATGCTTTATCAAAACCAATTTGGCAGTGAATGAAGAATAAGGCAAAGAGACAAATAAGAAGGCTATTTCAATAGTTCATATAAGAAGTTATGAAGACCTTAACTACAGTGATGATTATGGAGAGAAAAGGCTGTGCAAGATGGTGTGATCGTAGAAATGACCAAATTTGGCAACAGTTTGGATATGTGGGATTAGTGAGTGAGGACACAACAATGTCACAGAAATGAACCTGAGTGACTAGAATGCCTTGAATTGTAATAGAAAAGTTTAAAAGAGGTAAAGATTTTGAAAAGAAGATAATAGATTCCATTTAGGACATGTTGAGTTTGAAATGGCTAGAAGTCAACCAGTTTGTGTGATCCATAAAGCGAGATGGGACTGTACGTATCTCAGGAGATAGACTAGGGATATACACACACATATACACAAACGTACCTACATGGGTGTGCCTGAGTGACTGTAGTTGAGGAGAAGGACTAAGATTATGTACATACATACATACATAAATACACATGCAATATGATTTTGTGAATCATCTGCATAGAAGTGATTATTGAACTAGGAGGAGCTGAAGAGACCACAAAGTCAAAAAGTAGAGGTAAAAGAGAAGAGGACCCAAGCAGAGCCTTGTGGGGCACACATACTTAGTGTGCATGGCATGGATGGAGATCCAGCATAGGAGACTGAGAAAGAGTAGAAAGATGTGTAGGGGGAGAACCAGGAGAGAGCAAAATTACAAAAATCTAGATAGGAGAGGTTAATCAATAGTGTCAAATTCTGCAGAGGTCAATCAAATTGAGGATTGAGAAAAGCCATTAGATTTGGCACTTAAGAGATCATTGATAACTTTAAGAAGAGCAGTTTCAGTTGAATGGCAGATAGAAACCAAATTTCAGAGGTTCTAGGCAGGGAAGGAAGCAGAGGTAGCTAATGTAGGTAGATTTCCTAACAAGTTTAGCCCTAAAGAGAAGGAGAGACAGGATCATAGTTGCTGGGCATGCTAGGATATAGGGAGAGTTTTTATAACATGGGGTAGTCAAAGATATATTTGTAGACATCAGGAAACGATCCAGTTGATAAGACATGGACTAAGAACACTATTTGGGCCGTCTGCAGGAAACGATGGGAAGGGACAAGATCAAAGGTACGTAGAGAGGCCTTGGAAAAGGGAAGGACTACTTCTTCATCTCAGTCCAGAGTGCGTGGAGAAAGAGATGATAGGAAGTTTTCTGAGTAATGTGATTTTGTGAAAAATGGAAAAGCACTAACTCTTGGCAAATGACCTCAGTTTATTTAGTGGAGTGTGAAGGGAGGTCCTCAATATAGAGGGCAGGGAAATATGTAGCTGTGGGACAGATGAAGAGATGCATAAAGATTTGGAACAACAACAATGGAGAGTAGAATAGTAAATCAACTAGGGAAATTTAGATGGATCACCTTGCTTTAGTGGGATTCTAGGGAGATTAGATTATGTAAAATTTTACTGGACCCAATGAGCAGGGTTTTCTGATTTCTTCCGGTTCATTTAGCAATACCTGAAAAGGAACAAAGCAGGCACATGGTTGTAGTCCTAGATAGTCTATGTTTGGCAATGCATTAACAGGGATGCGACAAAGGGATAATGGACTCTATCTGATCTTGGATGGATGGTGGAGATTCTGATAGGTAAGGGTGATGTTAAGAGAAAAGAAGCAAGCCATCTAGCATACTTAATGGATCCTTTGTCAAACAATTATGGGAATACAAGAACAAGAGTTGCCCAGGAGGGACAGACATGGAAGGGTTATAAGATGAGTCATTAGAGGGGAAGCCATGTTGATGTGATCACAAATCCACTGAAGTTTTTGACTATTTTATTTGACTATTTTATTCAATGTTTACTATGTTCAAGACGTTGCTTGAAGCACTGGAGATACGAATTCCCTTCACAGACTTTATGATTTATTTACCTGGATGGACATTTCAATTTACTTAGGGCTTGCTCAATATTCAACATTAAAAAAGACAACACTATTAAAGCGCCTCCTGTGTACCAAGCATATAACCTATCAGCAGTCATTCCTTGCTTTCTCCTTCACATTCGCAATCTTTTCTGTATTATTTTCTTACTTGACTAACACAAGTTAAAAAGCTCTTCTCAGTGGCCAAGTAATGGAATTTCTAGACAGAAGAACATGTATGTTTGGGAGGCAGTGTAGGTGAATGTAGTGAGTGCTACACGTGGAAACCAGAAACCTGGGTTTGAAACCTGCCTCTGAGACAATAGCTTTATGACAGTGGGCAAATTATTTAACTAACATCTAGGCTTCAGTTTCAAGTGTAAAATTGACATAATACTTCCTGATGTTGTCACTTGTTTCAGTCATGTATGTATGACTCTTTGTGACTCCATTAGGGATTTTCTTTACAAAAATACTGGAGTGGTTTGCCATTTCCTTCTCCTGCTCGATTTCCAAGTTGAGAAAACTGAGGCAAGCAGGGTCACACAGCTAGTAAGTGTCTGAGGCCAGATTTGAACTCAGGAATGTGAGTCTTCCTGACTCTAGGCCCAGCACTCTATCCAGTGTGCCACCTAGCTGCTCTAATATTCCTTGTAGTAATGACCAAATTGGTTTCTGTGAGTGTTAAGTAAGATCATATGTGTTGCAAAATTTAAAGTACCACATAAATTCCTCATGAAAGATGGGGAAAAGAATTGGGCATTTTTAACATACCTGCTAGGTAGGAATTAACACCTGATATGTTTTATGTTTATTGAATGTTTAAATTCCAGATGAGTTGTTGATTTGGGGGAACATAAGATCATAAGTCAAGAGCAAAAATGGACCTCAGAGGCCATCTAGGCAAATGCCTTTGTTTTACTGAGAAAACTACCCTTCTTTTTAAAAATGAATTTTATAAATGAAGCATTTCAATACTTTAGCATTACAGTCTTTCTAGAATAAAAGGCAACTTGTTATGTCAAATGGAATCTTAGGATTTCTTAGCTACAAAGGAATCTTAGAGATCTCATATTCAATTTTGCAGATGAGGAAGTGAATTATGCCAGCTAATTGATTTGCCCAAGGTCATACAGATCATTAGTCTAATTTTTTGTGGTTATTTCACAAGATATTTTAATGACTCATCAGTTGTTTTTTAAATAACTTTATGACCCATCCATATTTTTTTCTTTTTTCCCTTGTTAGCTCCCAGTTACTTCATCTTTCTCAGGTCCATTTAATGTGTTACCAGTGAAGAGCAAATGGAGCAACATTGACTTTCATGTTCTTTTTTTTGACCTGGAAAATCTTGTGGAACTGCTGCTCTCCACCCAATTCAACAGCTTTAGCACCTCCCACTCATGGCATGGCAGTGATATTCTAAGAAGAGCCAGAAGCACCTTTGAGAAAAGGCCACTGACTCTGAAAAGGAGTAAAACTTCCACCTCCTCTATTTCAGGGGAAGTGCAGATGAAGAATATTTGTGAGAACCAGGGCCAGGGAGATATCCCAGGCAAGTCCTTTGAAGAAAATGAGGGCATCAGACGACACAAAAAAATGAAGAGTTCCAAAAAAGCTCAATTTATACCACCAAGAAAAGTCGATATCAACCTCATGATAGATACAGCTAAACTTCTCTTGTCATGCCTCTTACCATGGGGTGTGGATAAAGAATTAGATAATCTTTGCATTCAGCATCTAAATATTTTAAGGCTTCAATGTCCAGCTTCCTTAGGATTAGCTTCAAATGAAGATCACTTCTCTTTGATGTTGCCTGGTTGGAACTTTTGCAGTCCAGGAATGAAGGAAGGGTGTTCAGTCGTCAATTTGTTTTCTAGAAAAGTGCTAGACTTGTCAAATAAATACATCGCTGCCCTCCCAAGTCAACCAGAAGGTATAAGGGAGCTAGAAAGTGATTCAAAACATAGATCAGACACTATATTATATCTGTTAAGCAAATTGTTTTTAGTTATCAAGTTAGTTAACATGCCTTTAGAGTTGGCCTACAGAAGCAACAGGTAAGAAGTACTTATGATCTTTTCCCCTTTTTGGTGATGGGTGGGTTTGGTATAGAGAAGGATATATTTACCAAAAAAGTACCAAATTTGTCTTATTTTTCATGGGAAATATTGATCAATATGATAAATTTAAAATTTGTTTAATTAAACCTGGATCATAGAATTAGAGCAGAAAGGATCCATAGAAATATTGAGTACAAAACTTTCATGATAAAACTGAACCTAGAAAGAGTACAGCATATGATTTATCCAGTCATACAAATGATACAGGATAATTCTGGGTAGAGTCAGTATTTGAAATCAGTTGCTCTGACCCCAAATCCAGCACCCCTTCCACTATACTATGCTACCTGTGTCAGACAGACAGACAGACACACACACACATATAATTGCAGTTAAATTTAATGATGTATTTCATATCTATTTTTGAATTTAAAATACTGTTTTTCTGGTTACAAATTTTTCATGATCATAAAGGAATTTAACTATGGGACTGTTACCTTCCTGTTTAGAAACTAAATTTACATCTTGGAAGAAAAAGTTCTGAAAATTTAGATCTCACCAAATCATACAATCATACTTCATATGAAAGTAAAGGAAGTTTCTTTTTCAGTTATTTATTTATAAACAATCAAAAAAAAACCTTGATGCTTCTCTCTGAGGTGTCATCCCTTGCAGAATTTTCTATATTTCTATATTATATTTAATTCAATTCTGCAATGCTTTAATTATTGAGCTCTTAATGCTGCCCAGCACTCTGAAAAGTATTTTGAGATATCTAAATATATGGCATGCTCCCAACTCTCAAAGAACTTATAAACTCATTAAGCAAGTAAGACTTACACAGATAGATCAATTAAACTTAATGTAATTGGGAGACTGCTACAAAATATGTGGTACATATAAATGTTGTAGCCAGTCAGAAAAGAAAGAGATCAATGGAGTACTTGTGGAAGTATCCTTGGAGGAAGTAGGAATAGCATTTGGATAAGCATTAAACTGTGGTGATGTTTTTGTGTTTGGTCATTCTCTTTAGAAAAAGTTTCAGTAATTTATCTGAAAGCACACTAACCTGCGTATTTGTCTTTTAGATGCCCCCATTATTGGAGAGACTGATGAGTTTACTTGATGTACATTTGTACCTCTTGTCTGTTCTTTTAGTTTATGTCCAGTAATCAATTATTTTTCATCTTTTATCTTCTATTGCTTAGCGTTCTCATTTATAAAATTTCTCACTACTATATTACTGAATTTCCTATAGTCAATCAAAGGCATATTGAAAATTATATTAAGAGGACTTTTTTTGTCAGAGGTAGAGAATAGATGTCTAGGTTCTTTTTTCTTCATCTTTTTTCATGAAGTAGACTTCTTCCCAAAGATCAGTATAGCTACATATGGAGAGGTCCTTCATCGGTAGATGCCCATCTACTGATAAATTATGGCAATATATGAAAACAGAGAAAAATAGAGAAGTACCCTCAGTTCTATCTGTGGCCCCCTTCCGTTTCTGCAGTGGTGAAAAAATGATGGCAAAGAGGATAGATGGAGCTAAGAATCCCACAGTTTTTAGACTAACTATAAACTTTAACTTAGCTGTTGGAACTCTAAATATGCACTCCTTGTCTAATGACTAATTAATGGGTATACCATTGGAGGAGTTGATCATATCAATATTGACATTCTTACTATAAATGAAACCAGAAGAAAGAAGGAAATTATATCTAAGTGGAAATATGGCCCATGGGTAATCCAAGAATAGGTCAACATTGGATTTGGTGGCACTGGTATTATTGTATGCCTCAAAGCAACAAGAAAAATAATTTCATGAGACATTTAGTCATCTCTTATGGCAGTGATCATAATATATATCTTCAAAAAATTGAATTTAATGCATCAGCATTGATTGCATAACATGAAGACATCAAGAAATTCTCCAAAGGACTTTTTAAATAACTTCCAAATTAAATCATTATAACATCAGTGTGTAAGAGTACTGATGAAGATGTTGAGAAACACATCAAAAAGCATGGGTCATGAACAAAAATGTAAGGGGCCAAAGACTTATAGACTACATGGACGCTTCATGACTTTATGTCATGAACAACTTTTTTTTTCAGAATTGGATTGATAGGCACTGGGTGTGGAAAACACCAAATGGCATTCAAAAAAAATGATGATTATATTTTAACATAAGAAAAGACATTCATGTGAGAATATTGCAGAACCATATATTTGTAAATAGAAGATTATCAACTTATTAGAACAAAGGTTAAATTAGTATAAAGCTAAAAGAAATAATAATAATGATAAAAAGATGTGGCATACAATTGAAACAACTCCATCCTAACCTATTTTAAAAAGTTATAATAAAAAATTGGTAATGACCAACAAAAACGATAAGGACACCAATTATAATCTTAAACAGAAGTTTATTCAATGTAAATCAATTTCCACAACCAAAAAACCAAACGATGCTAAAAAGTGTTTTAGTCAATAAATGCATAACTTATTTGTCTATTAGTGAAAATAGTCAAAGAAAACACTGATTTATAATAACTAAACATGAAATACTTCTGTAAAATCTTATTTAAAAGGATGATGGAAGATTATAAACAATATGACTTTATAAAGCAGAGAAAACCACTGGAAATTAAAAACAATTTAAAGAATGCTTGGTGAGAGAGTCAACTAAGCAAAGACATTCCAAGAACATTTGAGGATGAAGATCAAAGGCAACAAACAGAAAAAATGGAAAAAAAAACACCAAAAATATTTTTGCAATATTATTTTCACCGTCAAGGAGAGCAGAGACTCTTAACTTTGATTTCAGCATTACAGATCTGGACATGCTCATTATAGAGCAGGTGCAAATAGCTATGAAGAGAACAAATATGGGAAAACCAGCCTGATTGGACTGAGGGTAGATAGAGAACTGTACTGGATGTGGCAAAACTTTGCGGGCATAGAGGGATTGATTCACAAAGTACTCAAGTGAGAGAAAGATATCAGAGGAAGGGGAAAACATTAGATCTTCCTAATGTTAAAAAAGTGATTATATTCATTATATAAAATGGTAGCATTTTACACATTCATCAAGTGCATCCTTGATAAGAATATTTATTTATTTATTTATTCATTGGTTAAGCAATGGCATTAAATGACTTGCCCAGGGTCACACAGCTAGTAAGTGTTATGTGTTTGAGGCCAGATTTGAACTCAGATCCTCCTGAATCCAGGGCTGGTGCTCTATCCACTGTGCCACCTAGCTGCCCCCTTGATAAGAATATTTATACAGAACAGGCAGACTTTTGCAAATGATATTCTGCATATATTTACTATCATTCATTTGAATGAAAGATATAGAAAATACAAGATCTCATGGTGCCTATTGCCTGTTCATTTTGAAAAAAAAAACTTTTAATTCTGCAAAGTAAAATACCACTTTAAAGTCTCTCTTCCCACAAGGTATCTCTCACCATACATCAAAGTCATTCAAGATTCCTTGAAAAATATAACAGAAACAAACATTGTTCAATGACCTTCTGCTTATAAACCTCAGGTAAAGCACATATGACTGGGAGATAAATGTTTGCCACTGTTGTGGAGGAAATCTTAGCTGGGGAGGGAAGTTTTCTCCAGATATTCCCGTTTTCAGGTGACATTGTGCCAGTTGCATCAAGCCCTGGAACATTTAAGAGCCTTCTGAAAGAGGCTCTGACTACTGAAAAGAGGTTATCCTAAACTTCCACATAGGAAAGACCAAGGGTAGGAAGCATGACTAATACCTTGATTAGAGCATTCAGACAATCAATACAGCTCCTATGTCAGTATGTCTCTTTGTAACAGGTGATATAAATCAGCACTGGATTAAACCAAGGGAGGAGAGTAGGTAACAGTGCTGTTTTGAAGACTCCAAACTTCTCTAGGAAACAAAGGCCTATATTTTTAATAACTGCATTCTTCCAATGTTGCTGTATATAACATCAAAACAAAGAGCATGATAGTCCTTAAAGAACTGAAAATGCATATCCAACAAAGGGCGTTGGAGAGGTTCATGGTAGGTATGAACAGTCTGAAACATGACAGACGAAGAATTTCAAAACAGAACAGGTATAAAAAGATGTTATCAGAGAAATGTGTAATATAAAATGAAGGCTGTCATTTGGCAAGGGTGAGGGATGACAGATGAACATTTCAAAAGCTCCCTGTAATTCTCCATATTATAAGAACATAAGGAAGGCATATTGGATGTCAGGTCAATTTCCTTGGGTGAACTTAGGAGAGGTCATGTATGGGAAAGCAGGCATCACAGGATGGGTTGTGGTCTAGAAAGAACATCTAAACCCGTGAAACGATTCATTTGAATAATCCTTGTTAATTTGAATTACTTGTTAATTTGTTTCATTCATTCATTCATTCATTCAGCAAGCATTTATATTGCCAAACAAAACTCTATGCTTGAAATACAAAGGGGTAGAGATAAGGATTGTACCTGTAGTTTCACTGGCATAGGGGATTCCTGAATGACGATGCTCCCTCTACTAAGGCAGGTAGGAACGTTCTCTGCAACTTCTAATCTGAGAGTGGCTTTGAGCAACTCTAGATTACGTCACTTACCCAGGGTCACATGGCAATTATATGTCAACAGTGAAATTTGAACACAGATCTTCCTGGCTCCAAAACGGCTGACTATACTAGAGAAATTGGTAGAGTGTTGGTCTGGGAATCAGAAAGACCTGAATATAAATTCTGTCTCCAACATTTTTGAGCTGTATGACCCCAGGCAAGCCAATTAACTTCCCTGGGCCTCAACTTCTTCACCTGTAAGATGGAGATAATAATAGCACCTCCTTCATAGGGCTGTTGTGAAGAACAATTGAGATAGTTCATATAAAGTGCTTTGTAAACTTTGAAGCAGTGTGTCAATGCTAGTTATCATTTTTAAGAAATCACATTGCCTCCCAGTGATGCAAAAACCAGCCCCTCTCCTCAAAGACCTTAAATTTTATTTGGGGAAACAACATGAGCGCAGATAAGTAAATTATTTATATATGTACACACACACATATTACATATATGTATGTACATAACATATAATAAATATGTACATACATATATGCTATATAAGTACATATAAAGCATGTATGCACATATACTATATATAGTGTATGTGTACATACATATTTATCATGTTATGTACATACATACATGTATATGTATATATACACATAATAACTCATAGTCCTCCTTCCTACCCCTCAAGAAAAAAACAAAATAAAACAAAACATAGTTTTTTCTCCTTGTCTCCTAAAGGAGTCTACATTGACATGAGTTTGAACACCTGAGCCTTTTAAATCCCTATTAAAATATTATTACATAGTTGAACTATTCTTTACAATTCTTACTTTTAAAAATAGCTACCAATCTTAGATGTTAAGGTGACATGCATTTTCCTCAAATCAGTAACACTGTTTTGGATGTGATGACAATATATTGATATAACACAAATACTTCCCATTCCTTAGAATAAATTTTATGCTAAGCATGATAGACATTTAATTTTTTTCTATTTAACTGTTTTATTAAAAATTTACTCTTGAACATGAATATAACCAACAAAACTTGTTTATCACCTTTTTAATTTCATGAATTTTTTTGCTTTTATATCATATTAATTTCTTAGTATGCCCTCTTCCTCTCCCCACCCAGGGAGGATTCCCTTGTAATAGTTCAGCAAAACCAATCAAAGTGTTTACCATGTGACAGTGTATTTGACATTTCACACTTATAGTCCCTTCCCCTTCAAAGAAAGAATGGAAGTCATGAGGACATTTCAAAACATTTAAATTTTAAGGAAAATAAGTTCATCTATAGAAAGAGTAATTATGCATGTCTTAACAGAAATAGAAAAGTTTACAGTTTTAAACTATATTTTCCCTGTGACTCTATCACAGTACATATAATTTTTAAAGAACATTAGACTTTGTAGGGAAGACATGGAATAACACATTGTATGTTGAAGGTTCTTTTTTTTTTTTAAAGAAGCACAAGTTATACCTAAGACAGTTAATATATTAATAGCTATTAATATTTATGTGATTGAAATAAAATTTTCTAATAGACTCCTAATGAAGGAAGAGACTTGGAGGAATAGAATGTAAAATCACGTCAATAGAGAATGGAGGTGGTTAGGTAAATGTCCAGGCACTGGATCTGTCAAGAGAAAATAGACCTGGGTAGAGCATTATGCTAAAAGGGGTGAGGGGAAGGGATAATATTGGAAGAGAGGACTGAAATGGGTAGGTTATTGAAGATAATCTTTGCTTTGTTTCCTTTCTATTTTGCCTTGAAGCCTGCTTTCCATATGTGGACAATGTATCACTCAAGTATTACTTTTCTCATTCACATCCAATGGTACCCTTTTTTGTTTGTTTGTTTGTTTGTTTTTAGCAGTCACCACAAAACAGAATCTGTTCCTAACAAGGGAAAATATACTGGCAATGATAATTCAAGTTTCTATGGCAATTTACGAAATGGTAAGTTTTGATATATTAAATAAGGAAGGAGGGGTCTAATCCTTACATGCTGAGGATGAAAAATATAAATGAATGTGCTTTTGGTGTTTATTTTATTGATATTTGGTTTTGCATCACTCCCTTTTATTAATTTTGTCCCCCTTTCTATTTCCTAAAGAGCCACACCTACCAAGAATAAAAATAAGAGGGGGGAAAACTCAGTTTAGCAAAACTTATCCATAAGATGAAAAATTATCTAGGGTTCATATAGTGCTTCACTCCCACCAAATACAAAGAAACAGAGTCAGCACCTTCTTGTACACCTTCTCTGAGGCCAATCATATTTGTTATTATTTCATAGTGTTGATTTTATTGTTGTTGTTTAAAATGGTTTTGTATTTTAAAGACCCAAAAGTCTTTGTCTACATACACCTAGGACCATGCCTTGCATTATGTATGTGATCACTAAAGGCTTATTTGGATTGGATAAGGCTAGAGAAAAAAAAAATATTTGAGTAGAAAGGTTAGGAGACAAACACTTTTTGATGTATTTCTTTTAACACGTGTGCATACACATCAATATTTGATCTAGGAATAAAGTAAGAATCTAAAGTGTACATCTTAAAGGTCTGACATTGGAAATTCCTCACTCAGGACAGTGAGAAGAGTGACTGTATAATATTCACAAGGCCAAGATGTTTTCTTTTTATCTCTCCCCTGAAGTTGCAATTAAGATTTTTTAACTCACCGACAATGCCAAGATAAGTTGGCTCTTGTTTCTAGTTCATATTAAAATTTTAACATCACATTAAAGTACCCTGTGAAGTGCCCCATGATGCCAGTAAGTAGTTATAGTCAAGACCAATATTTAGCTTTGAAGGTAGATTCACAAGGTCAACAAAGTGAAAGAGAGAAAAAGAAAGGGATGGGGGGAGGAGGAGGAGGAAAGATCAAAAGAAAAATTCACCTGACAAGCTGTGTTCAAGAAGAAGTAGAAAATAGGACATGGAAACTGCCCAGGGTTTTCTCCTCTTTGCAATTTTCATACCTTGGTTCTGTTTGTCATTTCCTGTTTGCATTCAGTAGTTCATATAGGGGAAAGTATATTAAAATGATTCAGAAATCTTTTATATCTGTTTCTTGCTTGTTCTTTAATTATGCTGAACTCTCTTATCTCCTACCATCTTTTTTCTTTTTCTTTACTCTTGTTGATTAATTTAAAAAAAAAAGATTGAAGATGATGATCATTCACTAAGATTGAAAAACATATCATATTAAATCTAATTGGACTCATTTACATCAAGAATTTCAAGTACACTGGGTACAGTAATTTAACTGAGAAATTACAATTTTTCAAAAATCTGAACTACCGTTTAGCACCTCAGGCAGTCCTCTAAGATTATAAGTTACACACAGATTTCCAGTCTACATTAGGACTTCTTCACAAACGTTTAGATCCAAAACAAACAAACCCATTATTATTGTAGACATTTGACAGTTTTGAGGTTTTATTATGACAAATGTTGTCATAATATTTTAATCCATTGATTTTCATTTGATTAACATCATAGATTTTGAATAAATCAAAATGCATTTATTAAGAATATATTCGCATCTGGTAATTTGCTGAATATCATAGATATCTGAAATCAGCACAAGGAAAGTAAAGAGTCACATTGATTGTGACTACATAAAATAATTATAGCAACAAAGTGAAAAAAGGCCAAAAAGGAGGGTATAGAACCATGGTATTATCATTTTATTAAAACTTGTACACATATTTTTTCACCAGATAAAATAGGTATTAGGTTTTTATATTGTTAGGTATGTTTTTGTGGTATTATTATTTTTGCTTGTGGTCATATGAATAATAAAATATAGTTTCTTTAAAAGCATTATCCTATCCCCCAAGTTTTAGGGTAAATAAGTGGCACAGTAGATGGAGGACAGGCCTGGAATTAGGAAGACCTGAGTTCAAATCTAACCTCAGATACTCACTAGATGTGTGTCCCTGGGGAAGTAACTTAACCCTATTTGCCTCAGTTTCCTCATCTATAAAATGAGCTAGAGAAGGAAAGGGCAAAACATTCCAGTATCTTTGCCAAGAAAACCCCAAATGGGGACCTGAAGAGTCAGACATAACTGAAAAATGACTGAACAACTCTCAAGTTTTATATCTAATAGACATAATTAACCAAGACTGACAAAGGGCAATTTATGAGGAAATATTTCTTGCTTAGACCCTGTGTAGTCTTGGGCAAAATATTTGATCTGTCTAGGACTCAGTTTCCTTATGTATAAAACAAAGGCATTTGTATAGATGACCCCTGGTGTCTCTTCTACCTTAAAATTAATGATAAGTTGAGGGAATGTTAAGTAATAAAAGGGATAAGAGGAACAAAAAATAGCATGTGCCAACAAAAGTGTAGCATATTTAGATGCTGGGAGCTGAATAGAAAAAAAAATTCTCTATAGCTTTTCTTGTTAGTCAGTTAAAGTTTCTCCTCCATGCCAGTCGACACTGTGTCTGTATTTCTTCATGCTACCTCTTCTTTTTTGCTGCTAATAAATCAGTTAACCAAAGGTGTTAGAATATTGGGTGAAATGAGTCAAAAGGATCTAAGGAGCTGCTTGACAATGTCAAATGTAGGCTCATGAGTGGTCAGATTTGGGGAGAGTGTTTCAGTGGCTCAATGGCCTTTTCTTTTTGACTTGTTTCCAGTTCTTAGCTAAATTATTAATGAATGAGTTTGTCAGAAGACTTATTCTGATTTCTGGTTAGTTTGAAAACTGGAGAATTTGAGAACAGACTTAGAAACCTGAATATTATTTTTGGAACCCATGAATTCAGAACAAGATGATGTTGGCTCAACTCTGGGGCAGATGACTAAAAGTTAAAAAAATTTAAGAACCCCTCCAAAAAAGAAACTGACTATTTTTAGCACCATCTCTGTTGAATGATTTATTTGAATTTTGGTATCTAAATTAGATTACTCTAAGCTCTACCTTGGCAGCTAGCTGGCACAGTGGATAGAACTGGCCCTAGAGTCAGAAGGACCTGAGTTCAAATCCAGCTTCAGATATGCACTAGCTTGGTGACCATGGGCACATCACTTAACCCTGTTTGCCTCAATTCCTTACCTTTGAAGTGAGCCGGAGAAGGAAATGACAAACCACTCCAGTATCTTTGCTAAGAAAACCCCGAGTAGGGTCACGGAGAGTTGGACACCACAACAACGGCTCAGCAACAATAAGCTCTACCTACCTCACCTTAGTCTTATACTGCTTTTAATGCCCTTTCATCACACATTTTTATCCTTGGGTTAGATTTTTATCTATAATAACTAACCATGGTAACCATATTTTTTTAAAATAACAAATGTGTTTAGTTGAATGAAATCACAATTAGATCCGTCCAAAAGTAGAATTAACCCTCTTGCAAAACTGTGAGCCTCCCATTAATGGAGATCTTTAAGCAGAAGTTAGACAAGCACTTGCTGGGGATAATAATAATAAGTATCATTTACATAGCTCTTAATATACGTTATCTTATTTGGTGTTCTTATTTTCTATGAACTAAATCAAAAGACAACATGGTCTGACAAAAATTTATACTCTAAAACTAGTGTTGTTAATCTGTTCAGCCTCTAACTCATAATTACATTGCTTCCCCTCTAGAGTTTTGAATTATAATATCACTGATTTTAGATAAACCTTTTTGGATGATGGTGAATATTTTTACTGTCCTAAGTGCCTAACATAACACCTGGCACATAATAGGTGACTAATAAATATTTGCTGATTGATAGATTGCATAAAAAGCTAGGAGTGGCATCCTGGGAACTTCTGGCAAAGCATGAGATTGAAGTAGTAGTGCTATATTCCCCAGCTCAGATTATTTTTTCTTCTTCCTCCTTCTCCTCTTTCTGCTCCACCTCCTTTTTCTTCTCTCTGTACTGCCTTAGGCTTCATACTTTGGGGTAACTTTGTGGATGAAGAAGAAAGAATTAATACTATTGTTGGTGAAAAAACAATATAGGAATGACAGAAGAGAGAGGACTGGAAGTACTGATGGATTGCAATAATGAAGTTCATCTTCTGTGTGCACATCACTATTAAATGTCTTACATGTTAGTATGGGGGGAGGAGTATCTATTCTCATAGTGACATCACTATTCTTAAGTATTTATGATTTGCTGAGCACTGTGTTAAGTGCTGGGGATTCAAAGAAAAAAAGTACTGCCTCTGATCTGAAAGAGCTTACTTTCTGATGGGGGAGACAACATTTATAAATCAGAACATATGAGAAAAATAAAGAGAAGATGGAAGCTAATCTTAGAGGAGATGATACTGGTGGCTCAGGGGAGTGGTTCCAGGAGGAAGTGGTGATTGAGCTGAGTTTCAAAGGAACCCAGGTTTTCTGAGAGTCAGAAGTTGAGGAGATCATTCTCTCCATAGGAAACTTCCAGCACAAAGACACACAAAGAGAAGATAGAAAGTCATTTTTAGACCAGTAGTGCTAGGTTGTAAAGCACGTGGAGAGTAGTACTATATAGGAATACTGAGATAGTAAGAAGGATGCAAGTTATGAGGAGCTCTAAATGCCCAACAGAGGAGTTTATATTTGATCCTTGAGATAATAGGGAACCACTGGAGTTTATTGAGGAGGGGAGAGTGACATGGTCAGATCTATATTTTGGGAAAATCACTTTGGCAACTGAGTGGAGGGCAGATTAGAGTCAAGAGAGACTCTAGGTAGGGGGACCAACCATCAGTCTATTTTAATAATTCAGGAAAGAGATAAGGGTCTAAACTAGGTTCGTAGATCTGCAAGTGAAGAAAAGATGAGGTACGAAAGATTTTGTGAAGAGATAATATTTGGCAACTTATTGGATATGTAAAGCAGTAAACAAGAGTGTTGTCCAGAGAATGACATTGAATTTATGAATCTGGGAGACTAGAAAAATTCTTAACAGTGGCCTTCTTGACAGTTAATAAAGAAATTCATAAGAGAAGGTGGTTTTGTGGGGAAAGAAAATTAGTTCTTTCATGTTGAATTTGATATGTTTATGAAACATGGACTTTGTGATATCCAAATGGTAGTTGGTTATAGGACACTGTAGCTCAGTTAAGAGATTAGGGGTAGATTAATAGGTCTGGCACTCATCTGTATTCAGATAATAACTGAAGCAATAAAAGCTGATGAGATCAACAAATGAGATAAAATAGAGGAAAATAAAAGGAGAGGACCCATGATAGAGCATTGGGAGATATCCACCAATAGAGGGGCATGACATGAATGAAGATGCAGCAATAAAGACTGAAAAGAAGCATTCCGAAAGGTTAGAGTTGATCCAAGAGAGAGCAGAGTCAGAAAAACTCTGAGAAGAGATCATACCCAGGAGGAAAGATTGGTCAACAGCATCAGATACTGCAGAGAAGTCAAGAAAAATGAGAATAAAGAAGATGTCATTAGATCTGGCACTTAGAGATCATTGATTGGAGAGAGCAGTTTCAATTGAATAAGTCAGAATCCAGATTGCAAAAGTTTAGAAGTAAGTGGGAAGCACCAATTGTAGACATATTTTAAGGAGTTTAGCTGAAAAAGAGGGAAGATACATAATCAATTCCCAAAGTGGGCTGTACTGCTCCCTGGGGGGTTCTGAAATGATCCGGGGGTGGGGGGCTTAGTAGTAGCCCTGGTTGCAATCGGGAGGGCATTGAATAAAAATAAGGGGGCAATGGAAGCATAAGGAAAGAAGAGAAGAAAATTTTGAATAACCTATTGTACATGTTTCATCTGTTGTGTAACAGAGTTAAAGTCATAGTGATTACATTACTTTCCAAATGAAAATACAAAATGCAATTTATAACTGATCAGTGGTAAAGTCTGCCAACAGGTCTTAACAAGCAAGTGTTGGCAGGCGAGCCTTTTGTGCATTGTCAGGAAGTCCAGTATGCATTGGCAGGAATATGTGCATGTAATAACTTGTTTACAATACAATTCTATGTGGTTACATGATGCAGTATTGTGTCATCAAAATTTCAATGCAGGAAAAAACCCACAAATTTACAATAAATTATTAAATTTGAGATGTATCATTTAAAAAAATCTATTTTCATTTTTTTAAATGACACAATAAAAAAAACTGTTAAAGGGTTAAAGAAAGTAGATTTCCAGGGGAGCACTGAGTAATTTTTTTTTGAAAAGGGGGCAGTAGGCCAAATAAGTTTGGGAATTTCTGTATTAGAAGATAGGTGATAGGCATGCTAGGATCTAGTGAAGCTTGTTTTAAGGATTGATGAGAGTCGAGACATGTTTGTAGCCAGGAAGGAGTAAGTATATTGCCAAAGATAACTTGTTTCTTTCCTCCCCAAGAGTCAATCCTCTTGTCATTCCACAGGACCATCATTACATTTCTACTACATTCCATTTCATTTCATTTTTTTTATTATTATTCTTCCTCAGTTCATGAAGAAAATACAAATGTAAATAGCTTTGAGATGCAGATGGCTAAGCTTTGTTAAGGATTTTGCTCTTTCTAGAAAGATAATGCCTACTAGTTGAATGTTTCAAGATGTGCTTACTTTCTCAGCAAATAATGACATACATTGAATTGATTATGAAATGCGAATTTTCAGAAACTGCAAATCAAGTATTGTCTAACAATCTAGTATAGCAGTCACCTGCCTCAGAAGCTACATGTTTTGAATACTCCTAAGTCACAATGAGTACTTTGCATGTTTCTAGGTAAAACTGAATGTCATTTTCCTGATGCTGATCTTTCTCTGGTGAAGCTAGTTTCCTGCTGGAGAGACCAGTCTGTACAGGTAGGAGGCAGTTCATGCTGTGAAAGACAGCTCCTTGATGCTATGACCCAATTTGTTGTTTGACACACATTCCCTTTACTCAAGGACAATAGATGTTTTATCAACACCTCTTCTGGGTTTAACAAGTAGGGCTAAGCATTGCCTGTGGCAGGTCTAAGGTATGGAAAGAAACAAAAGAAATGTGAAAAATATGGAGTGAGAGCAAGAGAGAAAAGAACAAAGGTGTTCTGAGGGTAGAAAACCAGCCCCGCAAATTATAGGAGTTTCTTCTTCTAAAAGCTGTCCAATTCAAAACTGAACTCCTAGAATATTTCACCTTAGGGTGGCAGTCAGTCTGTCAATAAACATTTACTTAGTATATGCCAGGCCCTGTGCCTAGCACTGAGGCTATAAAGAAAGGCAAAAGACAGTTCCTGCCTTCAAGGAGACCACAATCGAATGGAGGAGACAGGCAAGCAACTATATATAAATAAGTTATATACAGAATTAATTCAAAATAATCAACAGAGAAAAGGCACTATAATTAAGAGAGAACAAGAAAGACTTCCTGTAGAAGATAGCATTCTAGCTGGGACTTGAAAGAGGCCAGGCAATCCAGGAGTTATAGATGAAAGGAAGAGTGTTCTGCATGATATATGTGACTTCATAGTATATGCATTCACATTCTACTATAATTTTTTTTTTTAAATAGTGGCCACTTGTTCCTCAGATCACAAGATGATTACTGTCAGGCTACTTAATAGGACTTTTGTCACACTATTGTAGTGTGCTGCAAGTCTTTCAATGGTGGTCTCCGGGGTCAACTTCAAACTTCTTGACCTCTTACAATCTGTTGCCAGGCTTATCTCCTACCAAACCCTTTATTCTAACAAATCTGGCCTCCTCATGTTACTCTAAAACACTGTGATCATTCTCCACATCTAGACTTTAACTCATACTGTTCTCTGGCTGTGTTGTCTTTCCACCTTTCTAAATCTAATCATTCAAAACCCTGCTCAAGTCCAATCTCCTGTGTGGAATGTTTCTAGACTACAAGAAAATCTTGCTCTGAGTGCATTGTGATATAAATAATAGGTGTGTCTTCTATAGCTCTTATTGGTAGTATCACTGATTTGGCACTTGCTCATTCATTCAAAAGCTATTTATTATTCATCTACTGTGTGTAAAAGCACTTTGCTTGGCTCTGGGGGAGAAACTGAGAAAATTAAGACATGATTCCCGTTTGTATGGACCTTATAATTTAGCCCTTAACATATACTGCTGGGAGGGGGAAAGGGTTTCTTTTAATGATATTTTTCACCTATATCTCTTTTCTATATAACAAGGCTATAATTTCCCTTGGGGTAAGAACTATGTCTTATCCTTTGAATCCCATATATATATGGAGAGAGAGAGAGAAAGTAACATTGTACTTCTCACAAAGCAGACAATCCACAAATCTTTTTGACTTGATTAACTAAATGTAGAATTTTCATCCACTATCCCACTGTAAGGAACATACTGGAACATAGCCTTTTATGCTGTAACAGATGTGAGCAAGGTCAGGAGTCCATGCTTCCAGGCGGCATATGGATGTTAGACTCTCAAACTGTATCCTCATGAATATGTTATGGTTCTCTTATCTAAGAATATTACTCAGTTTTGTCCCTAGATGTTCCTTTTCTCCTTCCCTTAGTATTGTTTCATTTGTCCATCTTCATTCAAGGACATGATTTAAAATAATTAAATTATTATGAAAAGCAGAGATATTAATTGCACAGATTACACATTCCATTCAATTTCATATATCATCCCTATCAAGGCAGAAACTTATTTCCTTCAGGAGTTCATTCTCTTTCTTCTCCTCTGTTCCTTCCCCCAGAGAAGGTCAGTGTCTAATAAAAGAACTCTAATCTTCCTCATGAAATAGGAGTGAGAAATAGGAGCAACAGTTCACATCTGGATTAGAGAAAACTGTAGAAACTTCTGTGCTTCTCACAGTTTTAGCTGAAAGAGAAAATAGGAATACAGGTTTATGTTTCCAAGAGCCCAGAAGCTCCATTCCATCCTGGAAGGCCACTTCAGGATCAGCCAGTATCCTTGCCCTTTTCTATTCTTACATTCCTTCATCACTGAAATCAGATATTGCACAAATGCCTCAAAGGCTCTTTCCTACAGAGTGCTGCCAGGAGGCAGAAGGGCTCAGCTACCATTGTGTCTTTCTCAGTCCTTGTGTTTAACTTTCAAAACTTGCACTCCATCTTTTGTTTTATATTGCCTACCTCTGCCTTACTCCAAGTGCATCATAGAAGGAATACCAGACAGACAAAAAACACATCATGTATTAGAGCCCTACTGGTGGGCTTAAATGCCTCTAATACAAGGCAAAAAGGGGAATGAAAACTACCTCACTCTGCCTTATCACCACTGGTAGGCTTTCTAAAGAGGGTTGGGCTTGGGTCTACCCACCAGAGAACATGATTGAAAGCTTGACCAGCACAACAGTCACACATTTGATACTACGAGGAGTAGTTTCAAGAGTGGCCAGGCTGGACTCCTTTCTAACATGATCCTTGAATTGCCTTCCCTAACCTTCTCTATCTTCTAGAATCTTCCGTATTCATCATTTGCCAGTTTACTTGCCTCCTATGAACTTTCCTTCCTTGTCTCCTCTGTAACTAGCACTTTGTGCCTCTCTCATACTCTTACTCTATTCTGCATTCTAGTTACTGGACAGTATTGCCTATTAGTGCACGTGCCCTATCCCCTGCAATTCCTTATGAAATTTCCTGTAAATTCCATGAACACAGGGATTATGTCTCAATTACTTCTGTGCCCCCCTTCTCCCATACTTAGCAAAATCATTGACACATAATAGGTGCTTTAAAAAAGCTTAAAATGAGCTGGAAAAGGAAATGACAAACCACTCCAGTATCTTTGCCAAGAAAATCCCAATTGGGGTCATGAAGAGTTAGACAAGACTGAGAAAAAAAAAGACTGAAAAAAAAGCTGTTGAATAAATAAGTGAATACATACAATCAGAATGGTTATGCAAAAAGGGTTTCTTGCTCATGTAATCTCTGCATTGCATATAAATGTATTTTTAATTTGCTGTTGTTTACATATTAGAGAGTCAGGTAATTAAGCATGGACATGATTTTTTTTGTCAATTGTTATAAATTTTATTTTGTAAAATGTGATCTTTTTTCAAGGCGAAGTTTCTTTCTTTCTTTTTTTTGAATGAATGAAGGAAAGCCTTTATTACACTTCTCGTGAGAAACGGGCACACCACACTTCAATATGGCACGTGTGCGATGGTACAGTGGTAGAATCAACTTTTAAATAGTTAGTAAGATCCATACTCCACCCACCTGAGCCATGATTGGACCAGCTCATCTGAGTTACACTCTTCCTGAACCATCCCTCCCATGTTCCTCCTTGTCATGTTAACTCCAACTGGATCATGTGTCCCATGTTAAAAATGGAGGCTATCTTCACCCTGGTGTCAGTTAATATTTAATAAGCTTATTAAGCAAGCACAGTGGAGAAAAGCCTTTGCCCTGTCTAGGCCCCATCCTTGACCCCAACAGGTTGCAACCTGTTTAGCCTCCAGGGCTCTTTCTTAAGGAACTAGTTGTTTGCAGAATGTTTGGGGCACTTTCTGATTGGTTGAGGGACTATCCACAAGATCTTGGAAGTTCTTCTCAGAATCTCCTTGTTCTGTTGTGGAAGCCTAACTCCTAATCCTTTCTTACAATTCCCCACTCTTCTAGTAAAGATTTGGCTTCCACACATTCCCAATTTAAGGAGAAGTTTAAAAATGCCATTTCCTGTGAAAATTTCTGGCTCAAACATCTTGTTCACTCCCTCAATTTGATTTTGGGAAAAGGGTTCCCAAGAGACAAAGCACAGACAAGACATTTATGATGATGGCAAGGTTTGGCCCCCTGCTGGGGCACTTAGGTAGCACAATGGATGGAGTGCCAGGAGGGCACTGGAGTCAGGAAGACTCATCTTCATGAATTCAAATCTGGTCTCAAACACTTATTAGCTGTGTGATGCTGGGGAAGTCACTTAACCCTGTTTGCCTCATCTGTTAAATGAGCCAGAGAAGGAAATGTCAAATCACTCCAGTATCTTTGCCAAGAAAACTCCAAATGGGGTCACAAAGAATCTAACAAGACTGAAAGCAACTCAACAGCAAAGGTTTGGAAAATGTGTCAAAACTATGGGGGGTGTCCATTGTTAATCCAAAGCTTTGAACCTTCATGGCTATACTTGTAGCTTGACCTGTCCACCTAAAAGGATTAACTTGTAATGGAGAGTAACATTTTTTGGAATTAAAATTATGGGCATTTATAGTCATCTTAAAAAAAAGACCCTTAGATTTTTGCTTGCCAGCTAAGCTGTTTATTTATTTTCCCTTTCCCCGCTCTATCAGTAAATTAAGTAAAAAAGCATTAATTAAGCACTTATTATATTCCACACACTGTGCTAAGTATGTGAGATAAGATAGAAAGGCATAAAAAATCCCTGTCCTGTAGAAACTCACAAATTTGGATAGTGTCAGGTAATTGACATTGTGGGATAACAGCTGGCTTCCAAAGCAAAGACCTGGGTTCAAGCCCAGCTTATTGTACAAACTGGCCATGTGTCCCTGGGTGAGTTGTAAAACCTCTAGATGCCTCAAGAGACTCTCTAAAACTGCAAGCCACAGAGCAGTTGTTGATCTGCATCATTATTCTTCACCACCTGCACCAATGAAATCACAGGTTAGGTCCAAAAATCAAACAATGTTCCAACAGTACAAGTACCACATCATTGTCCTAATCTCATCCTTGTCCCTGACATTTGCAGTGCTAGGAACGTTGTATAAATTGTCCTTGCCTTAGTTTCCTCACCTGTGAAATGAGCATGGTATTTTTTGTTTCACACATCACATCAGGCATCAGTTAAAAATTAATTTCATTAGGTATTTTATATAATCAAGAGGCAATGTAACATTCTTGTTGTTGTTTAGT